TATCAGTGATCATCAGGTTCGCTTCTATTTCCGTAAAGTTCTTCCAGCTGATAGTTACGTTCTGGCGGGCAGGGTTTGGATAAACGCTGAAGGAAGGAGCATTTCCGGCAACATTACCAACACTGGTAGTATGCCTTGGTGCAATGGTCTTTGTTGCATTATCCTGATTGAAGTTGATATTACCGATATTGTTTTGTGCACCGGTAACAACAAGACTTGCAGAATAAGTAGTTGCATAGTTCATTTGCTCTGGGTAAACGGTATAAGTGCCGGTAGGAACGCCTGTGAACTGATAGTCACCATTCGCATCCGTGATGGCAGATTTTACCAGTGCATTGTTGGCACCGCGCAGGTAGATAGTCATGCCTGGTACGCCACTTGCAGCTCCCTTGTTAGCGCCGAGGCTTACATTACCACCCACAAAACCAGGGCCGGAAGTTACAGTGCCATTTTGCATCAGGATACCTACACCAGATACATTGGCTGCTGCTACATTAACTGTAGAGGCAGTAGCCCAGTAGAGGCTGGAATAATGGTAAGTTGGTACAAGACCTATCGTGCCAACCACTGCATTTGTCTTGGCAGCTTTCACACGGTAACGGCCGGCAGGAACATTGGTGAAGGTATAAGGGACATAATAGTTACCCTGTACGTTTACAGAGTCAATAGCAGTCAGCGTATTGCTCAGGCTGTCAAAGGAGATCAGCCATACTTTGAAGCTGTCAACGCCGGTATGAGCGAGCAGACTGTCTTTAATCACATAACCGGAAAGGCTTGGGCGGGCAACACTTGAGATTGTTACATTGTGGGTGATAGTGTCCCTACAGATTACAGAAGAGAACGTATCTATCATGGTCATCACCAGCCTTACCGGATAAGTACCGGTGGCCGCATAAGTATGGGTTGGCGCATAAGCGGTAGAGGTACTGCCATCACCGAAGCTCCAGCTATAAGTGTTCATGCCGAAATTAGGGCCGCCCACAGTGGAGGTATTGTTGAAATAAGCGGTATTGGCCGAAACGGTGCTGCTGAACTGAGCGTGAAGGCTATCGCAATTGAATGGAATGCTTGATACAAAAATTGAAGTATTAACCGTATAAGAGCAAGTGCCGGCCACGGTATCATATAACCGCACGGTATAGTATCCGTTGCCGGTATAAGTATGGCTTACGGGGTTGCCTGATACAATGGGCGAGCCATCACCGAAGTTCCAATGATACACGACACCCGGGGTGCCGGAAAGATTGGTGGCGGTAAACGTCGTAAGCCCGTTGGCGCCGTACACTGTGGATACAGTGGCTGCACAAGGCTGATAATTTACCACTACAGACCGGCTGGTGGAATCCGTGCACAAGAATAAAAC